CCAGTTGTGCTAGCAAAGTCAAGAGACATGGTCACAATTGCAGTCGAGGCTATGGGACTGAGTGTCCTGGTCACGAATGTTTACATTCCACCTACAGTAGACGTTTCTCCCACATTAGATGCCTTGCAGAATATCCTTACGTCCTACCCGCATGCACACCATGTATTGGCAGGAGATTTTAGATTTTAACTCTCATGCGGAGGACTTCGGATATCCGACCACAGACCCAAGAGGTAGAGAAGTTGTGGACTTCATTGCATGCAACGGACTCATTCTTCATAACGTGCCGGACAGTCTGCCGACCTTCGAGACCCAAATGGGAAAAGGATGGCCCGACATCACTCTGTCAACAGCGCGTCTGGCTCAGAAAATACAGCACTGGACCGTAAGTGACACTCCCTCAAACTCGGACCATCGCTATATAACGTTCCAGATAGGTCAGCCACATGCGCAGTTTATGAACAAGCGTTATAGAACCAATGGCAGAAAATTAAAACAACTTGTAAGCAGGCTAGGACCAGTACTAGAGCAGGTGGACGAGGCACTTATGAAATGTCAGAACATAAAGGATGCTGACGACTTAACCACCAGTATGATACGAGATATTCAATCTATCTGTGATGCCACCCTAGGCCTGAAATCACCAAAAGTTTTAAGAGTGGCAAACTGGTGGACGAAAGAGCTCCGTGCACAGCGCAGTCGCACCAGGGCACTTAGGCGTAAGATGAAGAGCGAAAGAGACCCAGACAGGAGGCAAGCCCTTAGTGTTCTTTATAATAAAGAGCAAGCTCAGTACAAAAGGGCAATTGCAGCCGCAAAACTTGCCAGCTGGAGGGAGTTCTGTACTAAGAATGTAGAAGTCTATGGTGCTCTCCACAAGATAGCTTCGAACAAAGTTTACAGACCACCGGAGCTAAGAGCCTTTGCAGGGCAGCAGGCTGGACACATAACAGAAATCACGCTCAGGACAATTCTTGACGCCGTACTTCCGGAAGAGGATATTACAGATCCGTCCGACCACCAGGCTTATACGCTGCACACATCTGTCCCAGATGATATGCCATTTACGGAGAAGGAAGTCTCCGCAACGATCAAAATTCTCCCGAAAAGTAAAGCCCCTGGTCCGGACTCAATAGACTATCCAATCTTGAGAGCAATACATAAAGCAAGATCCGGCTTTCTCACGCGTTATTTTAACAAACTGCTAGCACTGCAAAGCTTTCCGGAACCTTACAAAACGGGGCAGGTTGTGCTCTTTAAGAAAGAAGGGAAGGATCCAAACAGCCCATCCTCTTTTAGGCCGATTTGTCTTCTCCCGGTAATAGGGAAACTCTATGAGAAGCTCCTAGTCCAGCGGCTTAAATTTCATATGACGCAGAGTGGGGCAATCTCTGACGCACAATATGGATTCAGAGAGCTACGCTCAACGATTGCTGCCCTATCAAAGATAAGAGACTATATCAGCCACTTGCATGAAAGGAAACAGCATGCAGCGGTCCTAAGTCTGGACCTGCAAAGCGCATTTGACTCTCTGTGGTGGCCCTCAATTTTAGAGGCACTGCACCAGGCAAGGATCCCTGATAACCTCTTGCAGGTTTTCAAGCAATACCTGTCCAATAGAAAGTTCATAGTAACACACACTGGCGGTGTCATAACCAGAAGCCAGACAAAAGGCTGTCCACAGGGATCGTGCGCGGGTCCAGACTTGTGGAATGCAACTTTCGATTCCATCCTACGATACGAATGGCCGTCCCATACCACAGATAGTAGCCTTTGCGGATGACGCGACCTTTGTGGTGGGCGGCAAGAGTAGAGATGAACTGCAGCAAAACTGCAATGATGTAATTGATACCTTCTCTCGGCTATGTCAGGAGAAAAAGCTAATAATTTCTGAGGCAAAATCGAAATATATAATTTATCATAAGCCAGGCCAAACTTTAATAAGAAACCCAACCATCCAGCTTAATGGGAAGACCATCAAAAGGGTCAGAGAACTAAAACTCCTGGGTATTATATTGGATGAAAAGTTCACCTGGCTGCCTCACCTTAAAGCCCAAAGAGAAAAGGCTCGCCGAATCGCAAACAATCTGCAAAAAATGCAAGGCCCGCACTGGGGCCTTCGGCCCAATATCTACAAGATACTTTACTCCACTGTCGCGGAGAGGGTCCTAACCTACGGAGCAGCCATCTGGGCAGCCCCGATGACAGTCAGAAAGGCAAAATTGCTAAGTAGTGCACAGCGACCATTTGTCCTGGCCATAACGAAGACCTACAGGACAACGTCGACTGCGGCCGCTTCGGTATTAGCAGGGCTTATGCCGCTCCCAATCAAAGCGCAGCAAGAAGCCTCAATTGCAAAGGTGACGCAACTCCAACAGCCATGCACATATGGGGATACATGCTATCTGCCAGAAGTCTACGAAACACGCAGGTCCAAACTAAGCACACATCCGTCGGAATATGGACTGGGCATAAGGACTTTCCACTCACCAGCGTTAACCCCGCGCTTAGACGGACCAGGGGCCGTGCTTTATACAGACGGGTCAAAAATTGATAACGCTGTAGGCAGTGCCTATATAGCCTATATAAATGGAAACATAGCAAAGGAATGGAAGGGCCGTCTGGGAGCACAGAACTCAGTGTTCCAAGCGGAAGTAGTTGCCCTCACAAAGGCAGTGAAATGGGCAATTGACACACGGCAGAGTCGAGCTACGATATTTACTGACAGCCTGTCAAGCATTTATGCTATCAACAACCCTCTCCAGCGCTCCGCACTAATCTCGCACCTGCAAGAAGTCCTCCGTCTACAAGAAAAGTCAATGAGAATCCAAATTTCCTGGGTGAAGGCGCACGCCGGAATCCAGGGAAATGAAGCAGCAGACGCTCTTGCCAAGAAGGCTGCCCAAAATGAGGAAACGGAGCAGATTCAGGTGCCCCTGCCCCGGTCATGCCTAAAGAGGCAAATAGAGGAGTCCGCCATTGGAAACTGGCAGAATGAATGGGACCAAATCCCGCAAGGCCGCAGAGCATATGAGTTCCTGCCCAAGGTAGAGGTGGACCGGCTCATCTCAGCGCCCTACCTCACGCGATATATAACAGGCCACGGCCCCTTTCCGACGTACTTTGCAGAAAGGGGTCTAGCAACAACTGATATGTGTGTTTGTGACAACGTGGGCTCACCAGACCATTATGTCACGGAGTGCCCCTTAACAGCAGAATGGCACATCAAATTCCCAACTACCAATGTTCTGCCTTTCAAACGCCTTCTCGTAAAACATCGAGGCACGCGGCAAAAGCTTAAAAGCATAATGGACAAACTAGAAAAAATGGGCATAGACCTCTGCAGGCCGGAATAGGGCACATGCAATAAACACAATTGGCATAAAAGCGTCTTACAACTGTGAAGTCTCTAGATGGTTGCAGGGCCAGGGTAATACCCGAGTAGTCATAGAAAGCCGTCCGGGTGCCCTGTCCTGCTGTCACCTGTCACCTGATGTGCCGGAATTATCATGCGAACGTGCATGACATGATCGGGCTCTCTGAAGTAGTGTCGTTGGACGCCTGGCTATAGCATTTCTTGACTGACTGCTGCCGTAGTTGAAGGAGCGCTGAGAGTGAGGTAAGGGGCGTGACCATTGCCACTTGGGTGTTGAAGTTTCATTGCTCTGCAGGAGTCTTGATTTGCTGTCCTATGTCTCGTGAGTTGATAATGTCTCCTGATTTGTGGTGTAGATATTATACAGCATTTTTTACAAACAGTAATATAATATGAAAATGAAGACGGATAAGATAAATTATATACATTATTTACACTATATACAAGTTCCGATAGCATTTTAATATTCGTAAATTAGGTAGGAAAATTTGTATCAATCATATGAGCTGCAAAGGGCCTTAGCATTCGATCTTCGTATAACAGTTCATAATGGAAGGTACCGAAATAGCTCAGAGTTTCGCCCTCAAGGGCTTTCGTGAAAAAGCGTTCATGAGTTCGTTTGAGATATTTGTCTAGAAAGTCCAACTTGAGGTCTTTATGCAGCTGGTCGTTACACACGTAATAGTGTGCATTAGTCATCAGATGAAGAAACTTAGATTGTACAGTTTGCAGTTTGTCGATGTCCTTATCCGTAACCGCAGCCCAGGCAGGCATGCAGAAAGGAGGGAGCAAATGCCTATATACTTCCCCTTTTAAAGGGTGACTGGGGATTAGGGGACCCAATCGCAAAATCCTGGTGGTGATGAATAATCATCCACCACCTTTTAGTTCGGGCGCCACTGTATAGTCACTAGATTTCCTTGAAGCAGGAGTATATGAAAAATGAGCAATGCCGTCGCCGGGACTCGAGCCTGGAGCTCTCGAATACATGCCGAGTGTCTTACCGTTACACCACGAAGAGGGAGAAAATGCCTTATAAAGTTTAGAAAAAAGTGCCAAATGCTGAAAGATAACGTTACGAGCGGCACGTAGTTCACAATAATGCAGATTATTGTGAAACTACGCTTCACTTGTAACGTTATGTTATCTTATTATTTTTATGCAGATTATTGTGAAAATATTGATTCCCTTCCCCCCAAAAAGGGGAAATTTGATTAAAAAAATTTCATGGAATTCGGGTTTTGGAAAATCCTGGAAGGCTTCGGAATTATTGGCATTAATTTTAAAATGAAAAATATTTGTATTTTAATGAACGCTTTACGATTTCTTTAGATAAGCAATCTAAAGAAATATGTTATGTGTTTTATTCTTTTTGGTATTTTATTTTTTGTATTTATTTCTTTTGTATTTATTTCTTTTTTGTATTTTATTCTTTTCCTTGTTTTATTATTCTTTTTGTATTTTATATTTGTAAAACTTCATGAGAATTTTAATAACGTATGTTTAGACTGAAAACTTACAGAATACTTGTGTGAAAATTCTATGAGTGCACCAAAATATAACAGCATTAAAATACACTAGTAAATCACAGAAGAATATCATTAAATATTGGCATTTAAGAAGGAAAAAATCAACCTCCAATTATAATCTCTTTATTTATTTATTTATTCATTCATTTTTTTAATCAACCGACACATTAACACAGATTCAGAATGACGTCTATGTATGTATATATCTATAAAAGGGAAACTTTGTCTACTTGTGTGAGTCTTTCGTTCGTGCTGTGCGTAAGCTAATAGTCCCAGGGCTATGAAATTTGGTACATATGATACATCTAGACAAGAGCCAGTGTACCTCGAAGCGATTTTTTTCAAAATTCGAATGAGGGTACTTTTCCGTTTTGCCAGTGCAAATCTTGCCAAGCAGACTTTGTTGGCGACAACATACAGTATACACATAAAAAAATGTTAACAAATGTTAGGTCTAAGAATTTTTTATTTTGAAGGCATAACTATTTTAATATAGTTTAAAATTTTGTAAAAAGCCAATAAATAAAGACAATACATTTGTCAAAAGACATTAATTTGAGAATTTACTATGCTTTTCATGGTTCAAACATCCTGATTCGCCGGTTTCGTATTACGTGACCCCAAGTGATCTCATCTCACGTAAACCACGCTACAAAAATCTAATTCTCTCAGTAATTATCTACATTAATTTCAAGTTAAATCTTAATTTGGACTATAAGTTTAAATGCAAGAAGTATTTCAATTCGTACGAATAGCTTACTCAGAAATTATGTAAAACCGCAGTACTTTACTTTTCTAGTGCATTCTCATTAGAATTGATGAATTTAACCCTTGATTTTGCCTTCGGTTGAGCGGTGTGATTGCATTCTAATTGACTTAATTCCCGCGAATGGTCTTATGGCATAAAATTTAACTATCTTGTAAAAATTATGTGTAATTGTATGCCAGTATTGAAAGAAACAATCAGTGTAATAAGAAATGGCTTGTTTAGAAAATTACGCATAAAAGATTACCAGCGAAGATATTCCGATTGGCATCAGTTGTACCATTATTGGCGACTTAATCGTTAGCGCCGGCAAAACGGAAAAGTACCCGAATGAGTTATATACCAAAATCCTGCCATTGTTGCTGATATCAGCACTGTTGCCCACTCGGAAAAAATAGGGCTATAAT